GTGTGTGTGTGTGTGTGTGTGTGTGTGTGTGTGTGTGTGTGTGTGTGTGTGCATACACACACATACATACATATATACACGGCTCACTGTTTTGCAAAATATATTACCTTTAACCCCAATAATATTTAAATACGCACAACCATGTGCTCTTACACATGTAGCTAARCTAGCTGTATGTATAAGGTTTGCAGCTAAAGAAAAGGCGTGAAAGTCACTTCAGTTTTCAGAKAGTTATGATTTATTAAACGTGTTGATACTTCATTGTGCCTGCTACACAGATCACACTGAGTGGAGCGGGAGACCGTTCTAAGATGGCAGCCCCTTGTCTCGTCATCTCCAATTGGCAGTAGTGGTGATTACGGTATCTAGTCCTTTTATAATTTCTGTGTTCTAGACCTAGCTTAAAAGAAATACTCCCTCACCCATTACATGCTGGTCATTTTCCATTTTCTTTCTGAAATAAAAGGTTTTCCTGTGTATTTTGACTCACCCTGTATTGTAGTTTCTGCAGGTGAATGCAATAGATGCTGTTGAATAAAAGGTAATTTACAGTGGACTAGAAAAAGAGTGTCTCGATACCAGTTTTTTTTTTCAAACTATGTAGGAGTACAAATACTTCAGTTTTGGTACTTGCTGATGCTGAGTACCCCTATATCGAGTACTTACTGAGTTTGAACCTAAACATTACTCAGTGACTTTAAAAACACATCCTTATAGGCCTACAGCCCCTCTGATCAAATCAAATATACAGCATGATATACACAGTTGCAACATTTTTAAATAAATAAAGATAGATAATATTTTCTTTCAAGTGATAATATATTTTTTTAAACAAGGAACTGTCAAACTCTTCACTTGAAATGTAAACTGTAACACATTAAATAGTGTGTCAATACCAGTATTGGTATCTGTCCCAAGGGCATTTTATATGCGTACGAGTACTTGTAAAAATGCTGGTACTGGGCTCAACACCAGCACTGAAGTGTGCTTAGTATAAGCCTGATGRTTGTTTCTTTTTGTAATCCTGTTTGTTTATTGATGACCCTTGTCAAAAATCAAAACAGCTTATGGCTCAGCTCTGTTCTGAAAACAGAACACTGTAAATGACAGACAGGTAACTTACGTAACACATTGACAAATGCATTGGCCAGAAGGTATCCATACTGATTGGAGGCATTGCACTGGTAGACAGCTGTGTTTTCAGCAGATACACTGCGAAATGTTATTGTTTCTCCAGATACCTGTCTGTTAGGCTGGGATGGAGCAACTGAGAAAAAAAAATCACACAAGGAAGTTAGAGCGAGAGTTATATTCACTTTAATAACCATGGATATGATCTATATGAGCATACACTCAATTGGCTCCCCATTAATGAACCAGCTGACAGTGGGACGAGGGGCCCCATCTGAGCGACACACCAACCGTCCATTTTCCTCAGGGGCCAAAATCAAATCTGTGGGCTTTTCCAACCAGAAAGGAGCAGCTGTTTAATAAAGAGCACATGTTTTTATTAAGCAATAACCTACAGCAAGTAAATACTCTATATTTGTGGAAGTCTCACCTTTGACCCTGACAGTTATCGTGTGCTCAATGTAGCCTATCTTGTTAGTCGCCATACAGGTGTATTCCCCGACATCTTCAAAAGATGCCTTGGAGATCTGAATCATTTTGTTGAAGTGTTTTACTTTTATTCGAGGTGAAGCCAGTAGGTTCTCTCCATCTTTAGTCCAGGTTATATGAGGGGTTGGCCTTAATCACAAGAAAYAACGCACTGCATGTCTTTCATAAGAACCAAGTTACAATGGTCTTAGCATTACAATAAACATTAATGTTTTTTTGTCTGACATTTAACAAATGAAAAAAAATAGTACAACAGATAACAAACTTGTTGTGCTCTCACATTCCCCCAGCGATGCACTCGAGGAGCAGTTCTTCTCCCTGCAGTACCAAAATGGAGCTCGATGAACCTTTGGGGGACAGCCAGGTAGGGGCAGCTTCAGCCACTGTGCGAGCTGCAGCCAAAACCAGTTAAAGGACAATCAGCACACACAGCAATTGCTTCAAAACCATATACTTGTTATTCATGAAGCAACAAACTTGGTTGTTAACTGAAAAAGAAGAAAGCAGAGTTGAAGTGGAGCAGAAACTTCCCTAAACACAAAGCAAACATTATCAATTAGCTTTAGTGAACAGACAGTAAAGTTGGTAAAATAGCAGAAAATGTTCAGTGGTGACAAAACAAAACCTTAAAAATTCAAAGGACAAAAGGCACATTAATACTACAAATAATTTTAATGATTATTACATTACTCACTTGTAAGCACCTTAATGACCACAGGCATTTTCTGCTGAATGACATTCCTATATGGGAAGCGAGCATTACAGCAGTAATCAGCAGTAGAGTCATTAACCAGCACATTAGAGAAATACAGATCTCCATTGAYTCCCATGGAAACCCTGCGGTCCTGCCGTACAGGCTGCATGGTGGGGAAAGCTGTCTGAATGGGCCAGTTGAAAGGTCTTGCATAGGAACCTGACATTAAACAGAACCAATATCTGAARTCAGTTCAAACTGGAGGTTTCACAACAATCAAATTCCTGCTTATGTTTATTCATATTTCACCCCAGACTTTAGTTATCCAGTTTTCTGCTGTGTAGAAGGCACTCACAACTGGACATCCAGTAGGTTTCAGGTTTTGGCGGGCCTGGCGGAGGGTCACAGGAAAGGACCAGAGGCAGGCCAGCACTGACTACCACAGGTTCCAGAATCTCCCGCGGCCACACAGGAGCTCCTGCACAAACAGAAGTAAATGGTAAATGGACAGTACTGTTGGTCACTAAGGTATTGCCACAAAAAATTAAAAAATAAATGATACAAAGAAGTACTATGAAATAATTATATTTTCCAAAACAAATGTTTACTGGAAATATGAATATAGAAGGCCCCATTGTCACAATGATTTTATTCTAATTTATTCTCTTGTGAACAGAAGCCCTGAACATTTCCTTAAACTGGAAGACTAACAGTCCTAGTCCTRGACTTACTGTATAAATGTAGTCTGATATGGTGGGTGTATGCAGATCCATACTCATTGGAGGCAATGCACTGATACTCTGCCTCGTACTTCTCTGGATTGTTCCGGGCGTAGATGTCGAGAGTCCCTGAGCGCCTGCGCATTGATACCTGGGAGTCACGGGCCACATTGAAATACTTCCCATTACGTCTCCATGAGAAACTTCATAACAGAGGTAAAAAACAATGAAGTGATTGACAAGAAGAAGTTCAGATTTTAAAATTTAACTATGTGTTGCTGCTCACATGGGATGAGGGTTGCCTTTGGCTTCACACTCTATAACCATTGTTTCTTTAGGGTCAACGATATGCTCCTGCATTGACTGCTTTATGATGGTTGGGGGTTGTCTGACTGCAAGCAAAGGAATAAATTCAGCTTTATGTTCTTAATAAAAGCATACAAATATACAGAAGTTTATGACTCACCTTCCAGGGGAATGTCCAAAGCCCAAACACTCTGCCATAGAAATAACAGCAGCCCTGGTCCAACCAGTGTCCCCATCTTTATAGTTCATTTAGTCCAGTGAGGGTGTAGACTGCTGATTTTATGTCCACAAACTGAATAAAAAAAAACCTGACACACAGAATCAGACATTTCATTCAAATGTCCTAAACCATTAATTAATGTAGGTTGTTTTTACTGTTCATTCTCTCTCTCACACACACAGAGACAAAAAAATCTCACAACACACATTAGGCTGGCATTCATTTGTCTGTTGATTTCTTTTCCACATAAACTGCATCATAAACCAATGGATAGGTTTTTAGGAAAATTCCAGAATCTAATTGGCTGTACRTCTAAAGCTTATTAACTTTGGAGTGAATTTAAGATGAACACCAAAGCTGATCAACCTCAGTAAAGACAAAAATGGCTACAACCCAGTCATTTTTTTATTTTGTAGCTAGATTTAATGTGTTAGTAGCTGAGAGTCACTCACAACTTATACCCTGAGAGTTTACAGATTGTATGACATCTTTTCTTCAAAACATTGGCCTTAACTATTAAGGGGTGAGGTGAAAAATGTAAATAAAAATAGTATTTTGAAAATTTCATAGTTTTAGAWAAAGCCTTAAATGTGCCCTTTCAAGTGAAATTGCCTGAGCAACATTTGGGTCTGTTGTCTTTTGTTGTTCTTGGTTGTTTTACAAGAGTAAAAAGTAACTTTTTGAATTTTTGTAAATTAGGAAACAAGAAAAGTCTTACTTTCTGCTACTGAAAGGATTTTTGTTTATTTAAAAAAAACACAATCTGGCATCTTTTCATCATGTTTTTTCTTCCATTATTTCTCTCATACAAAATACAGCGGGTAAAATAAGTATTGAACACGTCACCATTTTTCTCAGTAAATATATTACTAGAGGTGCTAATGACATGAAATTTTCACCAGATGTCGGTAACAACCCAAGTGATCCATACATACAAAGAAATCAACCCAAGTGTGTAAATGAGCTGCGTAAATTCCACCTGTTCGTATCCAGCTGCTCGTGCACGCGAGAGG